GGGGGGGGGGGGGGGCAAGTGGGGGAAAAGGGGGGAATCTTATATTGTATAGAAATTTTCTATACAAAAGGGTTCGGTCGAAAATAAAATTCCAGCTTAAGCCGCTTAAGATACAAAACCTTGTCCATTTCATCTTCCAGATATAAGATTCCATTTTTAGTCGAATTGCTGAGTTCATCTTCCATAACTGAGAAAAAGTAGAAATATTACTATTAGTTTGACTTGTCTTATCCAGTGAGCTCTTGAGCAAGAACTTCAGACTTCAGTCATTCAGTCAAGAACTTCAGTCATTCAGTCGTCGGAATTGACGTCCAATAGCTATGAAGATTGTGAACAGTCTTAATACCATTTCCACCAGTTAATTCCAGTTTTTTCTAACGGACCGTATCGCTAATCAAGTTATCACTTATCAGTTCATAAAACTATAGTATTATTCTTTAAATCGAGGTCAAAACACGAAATTCTCCGAAAACTCCTTGCAAACCGCGCAGACAAAAGCAATAGAAAGGGACAGGGCTCAAAATAACGGGAGATGGGTCTCCGGTCAAAATGACCAGTCAACTTGATTTTATCTGGGTCAAAATCTGTTTTTGACCGGTCAGTGATACGCTTACACTAACAGTGAAACAAAACTATTATACGCTTACACTAACAGTGAAACAAAACTATTAGAAACTTGTTTCGATACATCATAGTTTCATGTTTTAATTCAAGACGTCAGCAATCACATTGGAAGGCATGAAAATGTGGCCGGTCAAAATGGCCGGAGAGGTAAAAAAGTGACCAGTCAAGAGGCATTTTTGGCCGGTCACCGTCCGTTGACCGACCGTTATTTTGAGCCCTGGAAAGACGTTGAATAGCTCCATCTTTGGATTCACTTTTTGGACTCGAGTTCTCAGTCCAGACATATATAGAGATCACTGTACTTGTCTTAATCCAAGATATACAAAAGGTTAATATTTCTTGTAGTTTTCATAAAAAAATTAAAGGATAATCTAGTTACATGTGAAATCTTTTTCAACGTTGTGCATAATATCATCGACATCATTAGGATCACTTGGAAGCTTCTTGTGCTGAAAAATTCAAAATAATTGTACAGACAAATTCGAAGAATCTATTCGGTCGGTGTTGTATTGACAGGTTCAGATTTGACTTCCACTACCACTACCGCTACCTTAAATGTGTTACGCATGCGCAGTAACTGCAAGGTAGCGGTAGTGGTAGTGGAAGTCAAATCTGAACAGCGCGTCTGTATTGTATCGGATACACAAACTCTCGGCTCAAGTTTGTATATCCGATACAACACGGCCGCTCATGTTGTAAATAGCGCATAAACTAGTGGCGATGTTAGCCATAGCAACAGGTCATGCAGCACTCTTGCTTTGCAAATTTTTAATGATTTGCATTATCCAAACCTTTGTGTTTTATTAAAATCCTCTATGGCAACCGCAATTTTTTTATGAACAGTTGCCATGGCCAGCTTCGCCACTGTAATAAAAAAATACCTTTATAAGGATTTTATGTTTTAGTTGTTCTGGTGATGGTAAGCATTCTTCATTAGAGTCCAGTGGGTAACCTAGAAGTTGCTCTATTGGAATTAACGGCAGAGTATTAGTGTTAGGAGATAGGTGCCGTTTGTGGTCCAAGACTGTAACTAGCCTTGATATGGCAAGAAGTATTGGCGTATTGCCATAGCAGCTGCGCAGCAACAATGAGAGCAACAATCAGCAATATTAGCAGCAAAAGGAGATAGCCATGACAATTCTGCCAAGGCATACCTGCGGCACCAGTCACACTGACAAGTCAGTGGGAACGAAATACAATATATAGTGGTCTATACATCCTATTTCCTGTGAGATTAAACACTATATAAAAAATGACATATATACTACCAGATAAAATCCTCTAGAATAACATGGGTGGGGAAAAGGTATCGAAGCGCTAAACTCGCTGCAACTAGCCAAAGCATACAATGGCAGAATGAACACCTAGACCAAAGCACACAAGGTGCAAAACAATCCCCTTTGATCGATATGACGTCATGGACTCCCCTCTGCGGATAACCTTGCTTAATGTATTTAACCACATTAAAAACATTGGAATTTTGAAAGGTTCGTGAATGAAATCCTTGAATTTGCGCAATAGCATCACTAAATCCATAGTATACCCATATTATTTCCATACTATATCCATAGTATGAAAATTGCAAGATCTATACTACGGTATTTCCATAGTAAAGATTTGACAAAAATTTCCAGTACCATCTGATAATACAAACCTCCAAAAACGTCCACAAATGTTGTAGCCATGATTTTTTGCTGTGCTAAACTGCAATGGTTCTCAATCGACAGAATAAGAGGATAACTAAATGCAAAAAATAATGGTTATTACTTCCAGTCAGCTGCGACAACTACCTAAAAATATAAGCAGACAATATGGAAAACTTCAACTTACTCAGATACGACAAAAGCGTTATCTCTGATAGCTTTGACCACATCGACAAACTTGATCTTTGATGTAAGCGTAAAACCGTGATAAATCACAGGCTGATTGTCCGGACCATCCCAACAATCCACTAAACAAAAAAAAAAGTAGCGGTGAGATTCCTCAAAAGAAGAAATTCGATGAGAGTTCCAATAGGCCCATTGCACATGACGTCACAGCGCCGGTGACGATGCATCTGGAGGACAAATTAGCAATCTATGCATAATATAACTTTTGTAAACAAAGCAAATTTTGTAAAAGTTTATAATAATTTTGAATTAAAATGGTTAATTTTTGCGCTGTATGTGGTGTTGTACCGGAACAGATATTGTTAGGGAGCATCTGGAGGACACTCTAAGGATTTGTGACGTCAGTGCAATGGGTCTATTCTCGTTTGCGTTTGACAGCCAACTCTCATCAACTTTGAGCTGCTTCAAATTTGATGAGAGTTTTCGCTACGCGCGCGATAATATCCTGTCAACTCTCATCAACTCTCATGCAACTCCTGTTCTGGTTTGATGACCCGTGCAAGAAAGTTGAGAAAACTCTCATGCAAACTCTGAACTCTCATTCTCGTTGGACTGGAGCATTATAAGCCTTGGTGAAACGAGGACTAGAGTTCAGAACTGAGAGTTTGCATGACAGTTTTCTCAACTCTCATGGTTCCATGTAGCATGAGCTCCACCTTTGAATTTACTATATGAGTAAATTATTATACACGTCCGAATTTATCAATATGATAAATTCGCGGCACCTAACCCCCAACACTCACCCTAACCCCAACCCTAACCCCTTACCAAATGACCTTAATCTAACTTTTTAAACTTTTTCGAAAATCTAACTTTTTCAACTTTTTTTTTTGCTTTTTCAACTTTTTTAAACTTTTTTTGCTTTTTCAACGTTTTTAAACTTTTTTAGACTATTTTTTGAAAATCTTGAGAATCTCCCCACTCCTGCGCGGCCAGCCTCCCTTTTAGTGTCATTTACATTTATAACAAAAAGTCTTGTCTAAAGGCCCATACAGACCGGACGAGATTTGGCAACGCGACGCGAATTTTCAGTTTTCAATGACATTTAACTTTAATATTTTTCAATGTTTTTCAAATATTCGGAACCACTTAAGCAATTTTA